ATGAGTTGGTCCGTGATCATTACCAGGGGCTGATGTGCTCTTCAGCTTGTGTCATTTTCAAATGTCCCTTCGTAATAACAAATCAAAAAGGAGTATGCTCTGACACACGAAGTGAGCGAGTTAGAAAAACAAACAGGGCTAAGAGCATGCACGCTTTTCCACCATTCTTTTTTTGTCCTTTTGAAAAATGATAAAACATTTGTTTTATTTTCAAAAGCTTAGAAACAAGGAAGCATGAGGAAGCCCGGGCCTCAGAACACTTTCCTTTACATGGCTGGATATCATCAACGGGCCGGTTTGGGATACTTCCTCAGGCCCTCAAAACATTATTTATTTACAATACACGGATTTACAACCTCAAAAGAGGGTGAATTCAAAAAGACATTTCTTCCAGCAGAAATGACTACAAAAAACAAAATGCAAGGATAGCCCCTTTTCCAGGGATTCATGCAAAAGGATGAGAGGAGTTCTACTCAAGCGGGCTTGCGCCCATTCCCTTCGCTGGTCTCGAATGAGAAAGTCTTGGTATCCAGCAGGTTTTGAATTCGGTGCTTAAGAGTATAGCACCCATCAGTTGAATGTCCCACCTCGCCCATGTGATAATCACATTTTTTAGACGGATTGTAGTTTGAAAAGCTCTCAGGATTAGGTCGCTTTGGTTCAGTGGAGAGCAGCCCTTTCTTCCGGAGTATTGCCAGCATCTGAGACGGAGGTCCTGGGAGAGGAGTGAACTGTCTCCGGTTGTTTCGCTTTTGTGATGGAGGGATATTGGGTTTGTATTGTTCATGTTGCATGAACTTTGGGCATAGGGTGCTCAATTCCTTAGGATCAGGGGACTCGTGGACATTGTCAGCCATGACATCTTTACCCTTTTGGTTGAGACCGGAGGGCTCCATTTGAATCATCAACCCTGGTCTTGGATGGCGAAATGGAGTCATGGTGAGTTGGTCTAAGCGGACTGACAGATGTTCCACTTGTTTTGAGAGTTGTTGAAGAAAGGCGAAGACTTGCTTCATTTCGGTCTCCATGTCCGCCACACGAGTTGTCATATCTTTTTCAGCCATTTTTACTTGGCGGGTTGGTATAATTCGTAATTACCTGTGAAAAAAAATGGCAACGAATGAGTATAAAATCTCATAAATGATCAGTCCATGACTTAGCCTAGTATTGCATCTGTCTATCACGCATTTTTTATTTGTAAAAAATATCAGAAGCAAAACAAAAAAAAAAAAGTTTTTATTTATATATTCCTTACAAACGGCGTCCCCGGGGTTCGAACCCCGGTCGCCTCGGACCACCTTCACTCCCGGGTACCACCAGGCCGAAGCGCTGGTAGTGTTACCGGGGTGCCTTTTTTTTTTTATTTATACACAAATTTTTCCTTTTTTTTGAAAACGACAAGAAATCGTATGGGAAAACAATGATTTGTAATGTGTTTATAAAAATAAAGGTACGAATTGGAAGTAAGTATTCTAAAAAAGTTTTAGTAACTATTTCTTCCAAAACGATTACGGTATTAAATTCACAACTAACCTAGACTAATCATGGACCGACCGGGATATATAAAAATAAATAAATTGCAAAGTGCATGAATAGAAAACTTACTTTACCAGGAACCATGGCAATCACAGAGACATACGCATGAGGAGTGAGGTTCGATTTCTATTTAGACTGGTTCAGCAACATGAAGTTAAAAGGGTGCCTGACCGTCGCAGTCTCGCGTTGGTGTCAAGTCCTTTTAACCTCGGCCAAATCGAAAGGAATATCTTATAGTCACGCGAATAGCGGCTAAAGATACTTCTTTACGATTTTTAGAAATAAATTTCGGAGAAAAGAAAGGCAACCTCTACATCGCGGGCTCGCGTTCGAGGTCGTATCTTTCTTAACACCATCCTAACATGCCCTATCGCGGCCCAGGTCCGGCAGTGTAGTTGTGTGTGCAACGGTGTAGTGCTAAATCATTAAAGCATGCACAACAAATTATAAACAATCAATTCGAACCTGCAAGACAAATAACACCTTAATGTCAGGATCATACCTGGAGTCCTTGCTGCCAAACAAAAATTATTTTGAACAAGACAAAAATTTTTGGCTTAAGTCCACTTTAAAAAATGCAAGTCCCCAGTGGAGTCGCCAGTCTGTCGCGACCGAACTCCCGAGTCCTTTTTTTAAACAACATGCAAAAAAGGGGGGCTCGCCTGGTACGTGCTAAGTCTAGGTTCGGGACTTAACTCGGGCCCTCCCAAGCCCATACCATATCGCGACTTAGGGTTTAAGTATTTAACATGCAAGTGGTTTATACCAAGGAGTCGCCACTAATCGATTTGGGGTGGGCCGATTAGAAACCCAAATAGGGTGATGGGAGAATCACCCTATTCCTACGAACCAGAGATTAACTGAATTCGGGGACTTGGTTACACTAGTTGGATAACTAATGCCCTTTCGGTACCATTTTACCCTATTCATTTCTGAAAACATTTGTCAGGCAATTTGGATTGATTTTAGGACCTTTCTCCTAACATGTGAGGTGATCAAGCGAGTGCATAATCAGGAACGATCAGCAGTCAGGAACGCAGCAATTCATGCAGCCTAAAGTTCTAACCTTAACTAAGTCAGATGACATTCAAAAACACAACACTCATGCAATTGTATTAAAAACATGCATAACAATACAACGGTAATAAAAACTATCATGCAAAATACTACCGCGTAATCCTAGGTTTGTCTAATTTAAACAAGACAAAAAACATGTATAATATCACATTAGATTAAAATAACAACAATATATCACATAAATTTTTTTTTTTTTAAAATAACATAAAATAAATAAATAAAAATAAAATAAAATAAAATACGAAACCTTTTTTAAATAAATAAAATAAATAAAAAAGGGAAAGAAAAAAAAAGAAAAGAAAAAAAGAAGAAAAGAAAAAAAAATTTTAAAAATAAAATAAAATAAAATAAAATAAAATAAAAATAATAAAAAGGAGCGGATCCGGACCAAGGTCGGGTCCGACCCGGGTCAACGGATCCGACCCGGTCGTTGACCCGGGTCGGACCAGCTGAACCGGGTCGGTCGGATCGACCCGGGTCAACGGATCCGACCCGGCCGTTGACCCGGTCGGACCAATAGCCCAACCGGATCGGTCGGAACTGACCCGGGTCAACGGATCCGACCTGCCGTTGACCGGTCAGTCAATTTGAACCGGTCGCCGAATCCGTGGGAGCGGTACTCGCCTGGCGAAGCCAAAACGGCTCTCGCCGGCGGGGACCTGCATCTCAGGCGCCGCCGCCCTAAATTGGCCTCCCCGGGAGTAAAACCGAGCCTCTCCACCCACCGGGGTCACCGTCCAACCGCCGTTCGCCGGCCGGCGACCAAAATAAAAACTGGTTTCATTGAGGACTTTTGTCGAGCGGATGGCGTGCGCGATCGAAAACAACAAATTCGACTGTTCCGCGAACCGCGGATTCAGCGACCAACTTACCTTCGGTGAGGACACACGGACGGCGGGGGAGGACGGTATGGGCCGGGATTCGCGCGAAACGGCCGGCGCGAGTCCCGGCCAAACCGAACAGAAAAACAGAGCAAAACAGAGGCGGTTCGGGACCCGGGGAGAGCTCACCGTCGACGGCACGTCTGGGGCTTTCCGGCTGATCGGGGGGCGACGGCGACGCGGCTGGGAACCTGCAATAACCAACTCTCTCCTCTTTTTCTCTCTATTTTCTCTCTTTCTCTCTCAATTTTTCTCTCTCTGTTTCTCTTTCAATTCGGCCGACCCGGGGCGGCTTTGGCTCTCGGGGGCGCCGCCGTCGGCTCGGCGGGGATGGATGGCTGAAGCTGAGGCGCGGTGGCCGCCGGAAGCCCTCTTTCTCTCTCAGCTCACACTCTCACGCTCTCTCTGTGTTTTTCTCTAAAATGGCCGACCGGCCTCTCTCTCTCTCTCTGGCTATTATAGCCGGCGACGACGAACCTGTGCCTCCCCGCGTCGGCGTGACGATGGCCTGCACCGGCCTACCTGTCCCGCGACTTTCGCGGTCATAGCAGGCCGGTGCAGAGCAGAGCAGAGCAGAGGGGGGGCCGAGAGGAACAGGGAGGCGAGAGGGAGGAGGGGATAAGGGCGAGCCCGAGAACTGGGGAGGACGGGACTGGCCATTAATGCCAGTCCCGTCGGCATGCTCATCCGGCCCTCCTTCGCCGGCACGGCGACGGTGAGAAGCGGGCGCCGCCGTGCGTCACGCCGTCGTGAGCGAGGGGAGAACAGGGGGCAAGGAGAGCGGCCAGGCAGGGGAAGAGAAGGAAAGGAGGCCGGTTTGGGCCGGCCACGAGGGGAGAGAAAAAAAGAAAAGGAAGTGGGCTGGGCCCGCGCGAAAGGAAAAAAAGAAAAAGGAAAAGGGGCCGGGCCCGGGGAAAAAAAAAAAAAAAAGGAAAAAAAGAAATGGGCCGGGTCGGCCCAGCTCCGACCCGGCCCGACTCGATTTTTTTTTTTTTTTTTTTTAAAATTTTTGTTTAAAATTTAAGAAAATATGCTCTAATAGGCCCTATTAATTCACATATGCCTAATGTCTATATGCAATGCATTTAAATAGAAATATTTTTTTTGTTTTAGGAATTAAAGAAAATTAATTCCTAAATTTTGCAATTAATTTTGGGCAAATTAAAAATAGGTGTCAACAACCATCATTGCGTACCAGGTGGGTGTAATTGTGATTAATCAAGACAGCCTCAGCCGCTACTTCCACAACTTCAAGTAGTTGGGGAGAAATGACACCCAACTATATTAAGAAAAAAAATTCAGACCCCTAATTATTGGCTTAGTATTAATTATACTTCGTCGATTAATTTAACTTATCTTGGCTCACGGATTGACAATATTTGCACGTAAGTTCTCCGACAGAGAAAGACTACCCAACCAGTTGAATTGTTCCTTCGGGATAAATCATAAACAATGACTCGCCTAATTACATTTTGGTTGACTAGGGCACTATTTATGATTTTGCAAGTTCGTTACTCGTACTTCCATCGATCACCGACGAGCAAAGCCCCTCTGCTCCTACATTTCCCTAAAACTATGGACCCTCGGCTTCACCAAGTAATAGAACATGATGATGTTGATGAGCTACATAGGTTAATTGTGGAGGACCAAAAATTCTTAGATCGTGTATCTGAGGATCCCTTCCCAAATACTCTTTTACACATCGCTGCAGCTGCCGGGAAAATCCAAGTAGCCATGGAGGTGGCCATCTTGAAGCCAGAGTTCGCTCGGAAGCTAGATCCAGAGGGTTACAGCCCCATTCACTTGGCTTTGCAACACGAGCATTATCAAACCGCGAGAGCACTGATAACCCTTGACCCCGAGTTGATTCAAGTCCGAGGACGACGTGGGATCACCCCTTTGCATTATGTCGCGGGAAAAGAAGGAGACAATGAGCTGGAGCTCCTAGCCGAATTCCTATCTGTTTGCCGATCGTCTATTGAAGACTTGACGAGTCGATGCGAGACTGCGGTGCACGTTGCCGTCAAGAACCACAACCTCAAAGCATTCAAGGTTTTGTTTGGATGGCTTAGACGAGTCTGTCTGACACGAATCTTGAACTGGAAAGATCAAGATGGTAACACCGTCTTACATATTGCTGCATTCGAAGGGCAGACCGAGGTATAATTCATCTTTTTTGTGGTTATTTGTGCTTTTATTGTTCGATCCTTCAATTCAACACAATCTTATCCAGGAAAAAATACAATGGTAATAAGTACATGGTTTTAGAATAAATTGAAAATGAGGAGATTTGAACGGGACCACCTTGCTTGGTTTCTTTAGATGAAGAGAAGAAAAGGAATAAGGGGGGGATTGGCCCTCCTTCGCTCCCACTCTTCTACTTCCAATTATCTCTCTGACAAATTTCCCGGCCACTTGATCACGGGAGGGTAGGCTTCTTTTATCTTCATTTGTTTCCTTAGTGATTATTCTAATCATTTCATTTCTCTCTAAATCACTCACCATCCAAACATATAATAGACTTTTTATGCCATTCAGATGCGTTGTAAAAATTAGGTCAACAAGCAGTGCTTCTATATATATAAAAAAATCAAATACTCATTAAGATAGTGATTATATGAGTACGTAGATTGTTTTCCTATTGTTTTCGTTTAATTTATTATATAAATATGGGCATGTTTGAAAAATAGATTAAGTGCTCGAATTTAAGAATTTAGAATTGGATGACATCCAACTTGTATGATAATCCTAATTGGTGTTTGACTTAAATGACTCAATTCAGTCAAAACATTCACCTAATATATAGTAATATGTATAATGGCTTCCCAATTATATTGTTAAAACCTATCAATAGTAATCATAGTTTCATATTTGGAAAAAAAATTAATCATATTCAGTGATGTATTTTTAATTATCAACAAATAATTTTTTTTTATTTCTATTTTCACTGCTTAAGATTATCAACACTAGCGCTTACTTTTCAATTTTATCAAAACAAAGCCATAGTTTCACTTCAAAAAGTGGGAAATCTATTTTAAGCTCGTGATGCTTCCACTTTGTGTTCAATTTAATTGGCCTAACAATGTTTTGGTTGGAGGTTATAGAGAAAAGGGAAGGAAACATTTTAGTAAGTGGAGAGAAAAGTTATGATCAAGATCGTTTCCCTTTTAACCCCTATAAATATCAGTTTTTTGAGAGCTCTAAATCTTTTTAAGTTGGATGAATAATTTCCTTCCAACTCTTTACATCATAATTACTCCTACATAACACAACAATAACTTAATTCATTCGTTTCTATTATTTCATTTTTCTTATGGATTAGCGAACTCTCTTCCCTTCTTTCAAAATCAGTCCAACGGAAAATATTGTACAAGATAGAAGCTACTGAAATGGAAGCTAACAAAGACAATCCGATACAACCATAAAATAATCACTTTGTGGATCGGAAAATTACTCCTTGATCGGTTGGATCTTATGCATCAAGGATATAAATATACCTGTCTTAGGAAGTCTTTCTCTTCCATAGCAAGAGAACTAATATACAAAATGCGATTGAATCCTAAGCCTTTCAGGTTGACGTAATTAAGGCCTATACTTTAATGAAAGATCATAGTTATTAGGGTTATCACTTTTGTGGATTCGCGTCTGTTACAGTTCACATGGGATATTCGTAACTTTCACGTAAATAATTTAAGGTGAAGGGATTAGATCGCACTTTTTAAAAAGATTTAGGACTTCACTACATTGTTTGAATAATTGAATTTGATAAATCAGATTTAGTAAAATTTTTCCCTTTGTTCGTTGATCGTTGTGTCACTTGCATCATTCAAACCTACATGGCATGAGCTCACTTTGTGCACAATAGTAAAGCCAGTAAGAAAGCAGCAATTGAAATTGAAGGGATACATACTTCATTTTGTTCTCTTTGCAATTCTTCCAGATCATCAAGCTATTGATTGGGTATACAAATGTAAATGTGAAGAACTTCCAGAATAGGACGGCTCTGGACATCTTCCAAGTGAATCCTCATTTTGATGAAGCTGTTGCGAGTAGGTTACACCCAAGATCTACTTCTACCCTCTCTCTATCACAGTATTTTAGCAGTGAACTGTCTGTCTTTGAGAAGTACTCAAATTTCTTCGGCATCCAAGATGAAGCCACTCGCAACATGGTCCTTGTAGTGGCTACCTTAATTGCGACTGCCACTTACCAAGCCATTCTCAGTCCTCTGGGAGGATACTGGCAGGATGACTCTTCAAATCCCCCGGCCAATTCCTCCTCTGTCATTACTGCCAATTCCAGCGGCATTGCTATTGAAAAGCCACATCAAGCCGGAAACATTATAATAACTGGCTCGCAGCTGTATTCGTTCGCATATCTCAACGGCACGGCTTTTGTCGCATCCATCGCCTCCATCGCGGTCGTTGCTATTTCGCTATGGCCCCACACTCTCATTATTTACTTCTCTTTGACTATTCTTAGCCTTGCCTACTGTTTTTTCCTTGTAATTGAATTCCCCAAGTCCGACAGGGTCGTAGGAACTCTCCTGTATGAGTTTTTTGGGATGTTGCTCGGGACCACGTTGGCACTCCCCATACCCATGTGGCTAAGGCACATCCGAGTTGTATCCCGAGTTGATGCCACGTGGAGACGGCTCAGCAACATACTAGGATCAAAGGGATAATTCGCCATGTATTATTTACTTTAAATACTCTTGTCGCGCGTGCATATAATCTGTGTTTCTAGTCTTGAGGTTTGCAAGAAATACTCTTCTTATTAGTTGCATGCAATGGACTCATCTATTAATTTCTTTAGCCCATAAAGACCTTCAAGAAGAGCTTTTTTCCAAATATAACTTCATAAAAGTGACACACGCAAAAACGAATAGCACTAAGGGTGCGTTTGTTTTAGGGAAAGTATTTTCCGGAAATCCGTTTTCCGGACTTTTACCCGTTTGGTTCGCCGAAAATGATTAGTTAACCGAGAACACTTTCCGATCAAGGAAAACATTCATGTATAAAATTAGGAAAGTGAATTCTCTAATTTAAAAGGCGAAAATACTTTCCGGAATTGCTTCCCTTTACTTTTTTAATATTTTATTCTTTTCTTTCTTTTCTTTTCTTTCTTTTCTTTTCTTTCTTTCTTTTTTTCTTTTTCTTTTTTATTTTTAAAAATAAAAATACGTTAAAAATTCGAATTTTTTTTTTGCCCGAGATAAAATCATGGGATTGAAATCATTTTCCAAATGAGATCCAAACACCAAAAAATGTTTTCGATCACATATCACCAAACAAAGGAAAACTAACTATTTTTCAAGAAAATAATTTTCCGGAAAATATTTTCCAAAAACGTTACATTTTCTGTGAAACAAACGCAACAAATTGCAAATATGAACGCCCGAAGCGTACATGCACCATACGCAAATATCTCTATTTTCTGTATTTCTGAAAAGAGGCGAACTATGTGATCCTATAAAACACAACAAATAAACACAATTGCAGGCCTTTTTCAAGAAATTATGAAAACGAAATTTTAAGAATATAACAAATTCCTAGCTAAACCTTCAAAAACAACTAGATCACGTGGGATCTTCCAATCAAAGATAAGATAGCTTTGCGCATTTAAAAAGTTCAAAAAATAAAAACATTAAGTTCGACTATTATATTCTAAATGAAGATTCTGAAATAACTTAATTAAAGAAGGTGGCAAAGCAATATCTACTACAGTACTCTTGGAATTCGGAGCCATCTCTACAAAATCAATCCAAATATTCTTGCTTTAAGAAAAGATCCCAACCGAACTTCAAGATTGATCCATCAATTGATTCCGTAAATTTTCTGGTATAATGTAATCAATATTAGATTTATTGTAATTCTTTTGATTTTCTGTCGCTTCAAATTTCTATGCCGAAATATCATCTGTATCTAAATTCAGATCAACATGAGAGGGGCTTTTCTCCAAAATCATCTCTCCATCCTAATGGAAAAAATGCTGACCTTGTAATTCTTCCTCAAGCTCAAAATGCTCCAAATCCTCCGATTCTTAAAAAGGAAATTCGAAAACTTCAACTTCATGCTCTTGAGGCTCAACAGCAACCTTATTGACGGAAACCATAGAAGTGTCAATCTGGTTTTAGTTGTTTTTATGGAGGATAACATGAAACTGGCTTGTTTGCACAACAGCTCGATCATCAATCCACGAAGATCGCTGTCTTAATAGATTTCCCATTTTATGTCACATTCTAATCAGCGCTTTATTTGCTCTTTTCCGCTCGAACTGCACTTGATCCCACAAGAAAAAAAAAAGCATCTCCCTTCAATCTACAACCTAAACGATTTGCTCATCGCTATATGGATACGCACATGCAATGGAAAGAGCGATCTACATCTGCAATAAAATCTTTCGGGTTGAAACCTTGCAGCCAATTCATGCAACTCTCTGGGACAACGGTAAGGTGACAATTCTTGGCAGTTATCTGCCCGACAAGCTCCACCACGTCGACCATCCGTCTATCTTAATAATCGCGACCACCGTACAGGTTCACCCTTCAAACTCCTCAAAATCATTCTCATGAAATCTCTGGATATACAGGACTTTTGAACCAACGAAATAGATTCATCGAATGGCTGGCCTCGGGGTCAATTTCCCGGCGGCGTCATTTCTTTGTCCCCTCTTAGGCTTCTCTCCAGCCCTAGGACACCAAGTCAGTTTGCAATACTTTCCATAGTCAGCTGCATCCCATCGAATTACTGCTCCAGGTTCCAATGAGATGCTCGCCGTCAAAGTGTGGACCCCCGATCTTTGTCAACGAGGCAGTTTTCACCATTGTCGTTGTTACCAAACATCACATTCCCACAATCTTCTACCTTCTAATATCAACCAACGAGCCAAACAGCATATTTTGACAAAACCTAACAAACGAGTACGATTGCAATCCTAATCCTAGCAATTACTACTTAATATGTTAACAAAAAGAAATAGTGAGAATATAGTCAAAGACTAGCTAAACCCTGAAAAAACACTTAGATACCTTCCAATTAAACATAAGATACATTAGGAAATTTGAAAAGTGAAAATAATAGAAACAAAAAATTCAAATAGTCCATACTAAATGATATTCGACACTAACTTAATTAAGGAAGAAAATATTAGATTCTAACAATCCCATATTTATCAAATGAAGGACATAAAGTCAATATTTTGCACTTTGTTTTCGAAAATGTGTTCCACTTAATAATTCTTTAACAAATAAAGTTAGGAATGCTAAAATTAGCCTATACTATACACTGCAATAATATACTAAGTTATGTAAATATTCCCGGCGTCTAGCTTATTGCTTCCTTGTGCTGGTAGAACTAACATTCCAAAACATATCTTGATTCTTGGGCTTTTAAAAAAGGTCAAGGGCATTCATTTTGATAAAAAACCAGTTATCATGCCCGTGCTATACACGATTTTGACAAATGTAACTATGTTGTATTTTATTTGAAGTTTCCTATATATTGACATATTTTTCTAAAGAGAAGAAAGAATTAATAAAATGCTTATCGGATTTTTACCGCGCATTTATGACATTCAAATCTATTAACCAAGACTTTATTACAATAAACGAATAATTGCCATTAATCAGATGTAGCTACAGATGTTGACAGTAGATGCTATTTGGGATAAATATTTCCTCTTCGTTTTTGAAGACATCTTCTCTGACTCCATACTGAAATTTATTCATATGATCTGAAAAACTTTGACGTAGATTCATCTATTTTGTTTCGTTATTGGTAACTTACTTCTCGGTAGGGTTATCAAAAAAGTAACTCAAAATTCCATAAATTACCCGTCATCCTATGAAATCGGAAACTTAACAATGGTAAATTTTCAACTTTTTCAATGACTGGACCATAGGATCGCCGACAAACTGTGTATGGCAATGCACAACTCTGCTGCTTCAAGTATTTTCTTTTGAATGCTATGACATTGACCAATTTCAGTATAGTTAGCAATATACTCTATGACCATGCTTTAACATCTTTTGCTCGTCATGGACAATTTTCTATGTGGCTGGTACCCTGCACTAGTAGAGAAACTATCAAGCACCTTTTTGTTCAAATCTATCTTCATCCCCTGCAAAGCTTTTTGTTCAAACTCAATTGCCAATGACTCACCTGCTATGGACATTGATAAGTAGAAAAACAGGATTTAAGATTTGTGCAGTTGGTCAATTGACGATTTAACGTCTTGTTTTGGCCACTTGTGGACTTAAAATTAAAAAAACTCAGTTCGCCGTTGGTAGAATTCAAGCATTGGAATTCTTATACTCCACACAGTTTAAGTAATTACCAGTATTTGAGTACCAAAGTCGGCTTCAACAAGCAATAGAACATGATAATGTTGATGAGCTACATGGGTTAATAAAGGAAGAGCCAAATCGTCCATCTAAGGGCCTCTTCCCGGATACTCCTCTACATGTTGTGGCGAACACAGGGAAAACCCAAGTGGCCATGGAGATGGCCATCTTGAAGCCATGGTTTGCTCATAAGCTGAATCGAGATGGTTACAGCCCCGTGCACTTGGCTTTGCAAAACAACCATTATTAGACCATGAGGGCACTGAGACCCTCCACCCCCGACCCCAAGTTGATCTGAGTCCAAGGACGACACGAGTCTACCCCTTTGCACTAAGTCGCTGAGAGAACCAGAGACATTAAGTTGGAGCTCCTAACTGAGTTCCTATCCGCTTGCAAATCATCCATCGAAGACTTGACGGGCCAATGCGAAACTACGGTTCACATTGCCATTAAGAACTGCAACCTCCAAGCATTTAAGGTGCTGTTTGGATGGTTTAAGAGAGTCAATCTGACGCCAATCTTGGATTGGAAAGATGGTTACATTGTCTTACATATTGCTGCATCCGTAGGGCAACCGGAGGTATAGTTCATCGATTCCGTGATTGTTTGTGCTTATATTGTTCGATCCTTGAATTGTCATAATCCAATTCCGGAACAAATGTTATGATAATGAAGATTGCGAGATCACCTTGTTGGGTTCTTTTGATGGAGAGAAGAAAAGGAATTAGGAGGGATTAACATCACGGGAGAGTATGCTCGACCCTTATATTGATCCATTCTTTTTTCTTTTTTTGTTTCCTCAGTGACTCCTCTAATCATTTCATTTCTCTCCAAATCACTCGATCCAAACTTATAATAGACTTTTTATGCCACTCAACTGGGTTGTGAAAGTTAGGTCAACAACTAGCGTTTCTTCAAAAGAGGAAAATTAAGAACTCATATTAAGATAGTGACAATATGAGTATGTAGATTATTTTTTATTTTTTTCGTTTAATTTAATGGATACACATCGGCCTGTTACAAAATCCAATTAAGCGTTGGAAATTACAAAATTTAGCACTGACTGAGATTAAATTTGTATGATAATGTTAATTAGTATTTGGCTTAAAAGACTGAATTCGGTCAAAACATGCAGTTAATCTAGTTATGGCAGTTCCTTATTTGGTAAGAAATTAATCATATTCAGTGATGCACTTTTAATTGTTATTTTTTTATATTTCTATCTACAGCTCTTAAGAATATCAACACTTGCACTTATTTTTTAGTTTAACCAAAACAAGCCCATAGTTTCATTTCAATTACTACTAGTGGCAATAAAATCTAATTCAAGCTCTTGATGC